TGGAGCCATAACTCTGTTTTCACCCTGTCTGTCCAGTGCCCAGGACCCCAGGGCTAGCAAGTGCAGACTCAGGGAAGGAACTGGGTCTTCAGGCTTCTTGCCTGGATTTTTTTTCACCCATATACCCCTCTCCTTAGTTCTCAAGGTCAGTTGATACCCCATAGCAGGGTAGGCACTGAGGGAGGGGTACGAGAGGAAATGGCATGGCCCCAATCCACAAGTCAGTAGCTCTTAGATGGACGTGTTAGCAGAAGCCTGGGCTCTGTGTACCATGCAGCATTAGGAACTGGAGGCCTTCGGGTTCAAGGTCCACAAATACAGGAACCTCTTTGGAATGTTCCCTTAGTAAGTACTCCAGAGACCCGGCCCCTTTTTTCTTTTACTTCCTTCCCTCCTTCCTTCCTTTTGGCTTTCTTTCTACTCTCTATTCTGCCTTTTTCCTGGTCATTTCCTCTGCCTGCCTCTCCCTCCAAAGGCCTGGCTGCATCTCTCCCAGCCTCCCGGAGCTGCCCCCTCTTCACTGTCACCGTGTGAGGAGAGGGAGGAGGCCGTCAGAACTCTGAGGAAAAAAGGGAATTTCTGGGGGAAACAAGTATTCTTTCCCAAAAGTTAGGGCATAAAATTTAGAAGGATTTTATTGACTATTTAAAGGAAATAGAGGTCAATCTTTTCTATTTTTCCTGTTCTTTTTTTTTTTCTTTTCATTGCTGCCATAATAAGGGTCTTTCAATGGGAAGAGTAAATATATGAAACATGGACATTTTTTTTGGAAGTCAACCAACTTGTAGGTAATATACAATTAAGATATGAAGTGCTTGGAAAATAGAAATGTTTCCAAATGAGCCAAAACCAGAGAATTCCAAAAAAGTATTGATGTGTTTCTAGTCTTCCCCAAAATTTGCTTTTCTGTCCCCCAAGCATACTTTTTTCTCTTAATGTGACTCTTCTAAAATTTGTCATCTATGCTTAAGAAAATGAAACTGTGCAGCAATCTCGTTTACTGCTGAGCAGCCGTATTTCCTGTTTCAGGCTGCCATATGCTGCATTTGAAAACATAAAGAGAAATTTGCACAAAAGCTGGGCTTGTAAATTGAGCCTTGGGTACAAATTTTCTGGGCCCTGCTAATTTTTAAAATATATATCTCATTTAAATATGACTCTGTTAGCTGTCTAGCCCACATTTCCTACTCAGCAAATATGTCCTGAATGGATGATTAAGGAATTCAGCATAGGAGCTGTAGGCACAAAGAATTCTTGGCCTAGCATTAATCACTCTAACCTATAGAGCATGTAGTAAATAATTCCATAATCCCAGGGTCTCTCATAAGAGACTGTGTGATAGCTCCATTTCAGAGAACCCCAATCTTCAATCTCCCTGAGGTCTCCACTTCACTAACTTACAAGTGTGTAGCTATGGGCATGTTTATCTAATTCAGTTCTCTAAGAGCAGATGGCATCCAGAAAGGGCTGCCCTGAATGTGTGCATGGGTAGGGGCTGGGGCAGGATCAAACGGCAGGTCTGTTGTCAGGGAACCTGTCAAAGGAAGCACTTGGCCCTGAACGAATAGTAACTGTGATTTATCCAGCACTTACTTAGGTGCTGGTCCTCAGGCTCAGCACGTCACTTCCATGCCCTCCCCTAGTCCTCCCAGCATCTCCACGAGGCATGTGCGGACTGTTCATTTTACAGATGGGCCAACTGACGCTCAGAGCCCTTGCTGAGACTTTCATTTCCAGCAGAATGGGCAACTAGATCATCAGAAAGGCCCTCTGACCATAGGAAACACTAATTTGTTTATAAAATTCATGGCTGAATTTATTTTTTAAAAGGGAAGAAAAAAAGAGGTGTTGGGGAGCCCCAGATTCCAGAAGCAAGGACGCAAGGATGAGGCTGAAAGCTTGAGCAGTGGGCACCAGGACACAGAAGTGAGTCAGACGGCCCTGGGCTCCAGGGGCGGGATCCCCGTCTGGACAGGGAGACAGAGAAGTCATACTTACAATGCGGGGAGACGAGTGCTCTGAGGGGAGTCACCCAGGGGGCCGGGAAAGCACAGAAGAGGAATAGTCCAGCAAGACTCATAAATTCATTGTTTTCCACTTAAGGAATAGTTCCTGAAAGTCTCTAGGACTCAAGGACTTTGATAGTTCACAAAGAATTGAGTTCAAATTCCGTTATCAGCTTCTTCACTGACTATGCGACTTTGACCAAGTTAGTTTACCACTTGGAGCCTCTGGTTCCTTCTCTCTAAAATGAGGATGATGGTGACTATTTCACTGAGTTGGGAGGATTCACTGACACATTCCTTGAAAATATTGCTTGTAAAGCATTTAGCACAATGCTTCACACCCAATAAGTGATAGCCATGATCATCATCGTTTAATGTAGAGATTAATAATAACAACAAATTCCTGGCTATCCTCCCCCAGGACTAGAGAAAAGGAAGCAGTTCTTCCAAGGCACCAGAGAGCAGGGTGTTTATATGGCAGAAAAGACTGGCTTCCAGGGATTGCTTCAGTGGTAAACAAGAGCAGGCAATAGCTAATAAAATTTCAAATTAGCCATGACTTTTCACAGCCCTTCAATTGTGCTAGCTGATTTAATGGTCAACATCCCTGCTTGCTGGGATTGAATAATGGAGCATTTCTGCAGAGTTATGGATGCAGCAGCTGAATCCGTCATGCTCACATCAATAGCAGAATGCAAATAACCCTCAGCTTCGGTTGTAATTATGTGTTCAAGCAGTGTCTGACGGGGGCAGCACGAGAATGTGTGATGGAACCTGCCTTCTGCAGGAGAAGACATGTGCTTTGCTAGACAGTAGTTAGTATACCTAGGAGCTGGGACAGGAGCCACAAGTTAGGCCCCAGGGCAGTGCTGGGGGAGGAGAGGCCTTCCTCCACATCTCAGAATGCATCTGGCAGGTAAGCAGATACAGCACAAGTGGGCTTTCACTTAAGTGAGCCGTGTTCCAGGTTCCAGGTCAGAAAGGAGAACTACCCCTTACTAAGTACTTTCTGTGCTGTCAGGCACTCTGCTGGATTTGGGGGTGCATACTGTTTTTTATTTGTGCAGAAAATGTTTATGTGACATTTAAAATCCCCTTGTAAGAGATATGGGAAACTGAGGCCAGAGAGCTTTAAGTACCTTGCCCAAGGTCACACAGTAGTGAGTTTCAGAGCCATGATTTGACCTCAGACAGTCTGGCTCTGGAGGCCATACACTTTAACCTCTGTGCTGCCCTCAAGGAGACACTAAGGTTTGGATACTATACAGAAGGGAGCAAGAAAGACAAGGAATTTTTATCTAATAAGGAAAAAAGTGGGTTTCAGGAGTTCAAGAAGCGTGCCTGAGGCCACAGTGTCCCTGTGGCTAGTCAGGAGGCCTAGGGGTGCCACCTGTGTGGGTGGGGCACCCAGCCCAGCCAGTGCCTATGCCGCACACTGGTGGGCAGCATCTCTGTTGCAAACCCACGGAGGCAGGAGTGAGGGAGGAATGTCAGTGATGAGGAAACTGGGGCCCAGAGAGGTTAAGTACAGGAGCCCGTCCAGGGTCATGCTCAGGGACACTGCTGAGGCTTAAACTTTAGTTTCTGAGCCTCATGGTCCCCCTACCATCCCACACTTTTTTAATTGACTTAAATGAAGACAGTGGTTTTCTGGCTTTTATTGATTTGTCCTTTGGTTTTGTCCCATGATTCATTTCTTAATTAGTTCATTCAATTTGTGTTCATTTGTTTAACAGTCATGCTTTAAATCCTTAAACTAAGTGCTGGGGATTCAGCAGAGTTAACCAGAGCATGATCTATGCCCCCAGAGTGGTGGAGAGATTGAGCCAAAGTCACACAGGTAATAAGCAGCAGAGGCAGAATCTAAACCCAGGGAGGCACATGCGTCTTTAGACTGTTCTCTGCCTACAAAGCACACAGACTACAACCCTAGGCTTTTCCTGTCCCCCCACTTTGGGCAGTGTCTTCTGGTCCCTGGGCTTGTCGCCCAGTTTAAGCTCTTCTATTGGGTGCCTGTAAAAGCACTTTGGGATAATGTAACCAAAAGTCCTTCATCATGGCAAAATGTTTTCCTTTGTACTTTGAGAAACTGGAAGTGGAAATCTAACTTTCGGTCCTGGTGAAATCCTTGCCTGTAGTAGAGTATTCCTTGCTAGTGGCAACTCGGTGGGAGGCCTGAAATCATCCTGCAAACTCAGAGAAGGCAGAGCTGGGTCTCTACATGCTCACGTTGTACTGGGCGAGATGCTGAGAAGTCCAACGGCTTCTCTGGCACTGCTTTCCTCACCCCCAAAGCCGTTCAGTTGCCAGGTCTTGTCATTTTCACCCCTTACATGTCTCTCAAGAGCATCCACTTCTCTGTCTCCGCTGTTGCTCCTCTAGTATCAGCAACCATTATTTTTCCCCTGTGCAACATTGATAACACCTGCCGTGAGTCTCCCTGTCTTACACTTTGGGATCCCTCAGTCCCCTCTATTACAGGGGATGTTGTTTCAACTACACAAATCAGATGAAGTCACTTTCCGCTTCAAGCCTTTCAGAAGTTCCCATTGTCCAGAGAGTGAAATGCAAATGCCCTCACCCGGCCTGAGAGGCCCAGCATGTCTGCTCCTGGCAACCCCGGGGGTCTCGTCCTGTGCTGTTCCCCTCACCTCCGAGCCCAGCTCAGCTTCTGCACTTAGCATGTCAGACGTTCAGTGTGCCTGCTCACCTCCGGGCCTCCGTCTGTATAATTCCTTCTATCTCTGTCAAAAAAAAAATAACACACGTCACATTGTATACTTCCTTAACTGTCTCTTCTCCTGGACTGTGGGTGGGGACCAGATCTGAGGCACCTGCATCCCCTTGGTGCCCAGCAAAGGCTTTGGTTTATATCAGGCATTTATAAAGTTTTTCAATGAGTGGAAAATAAAGCAGAAGTGCAAGACGACTTTATGGACAAAGGTGGCTGATTGAACATAGCAGCATAAACTTCATGCTCTGTCATCCCCGCAGATGGCTTGATGGACTGCATGGACCCTGACTGCTGCCTCCAGCCACTCTGTCATGTCAACCCGCTGTGCCTGGGCTCCCCTGACCCTCTGGACATCATCCAGGAGACCCAGGCCCCTGTGTCCCAGCAGAACCTGCTCTCCTTCTATGACCGCATCAAGTTCCTCGTGGGCAGGGAGAGCACACACGTCCTCCCCGGGGAGAACCCCTTCGATGGAGGGTGAGTCCAGTGGGCCACAACTCCAGCCGTGGCCCTGTGAGGGAGCCTGAATCACCTCCAGGGCCACATGGGGGAGCCGGGACAGGAGGAGGCCAGGCCAGTGGGCAGCAAAGGCTCTTGATGGAATACTGGGAGGCAGAGAAGCAGCCTCGGGTACCCGCATTTAGAAAACTGCTATCCCAGGCATTTGGAATTTTTATGAGCAGAGTTTTGTTGTTCCCACTGGGTGATAGATAGAGAGAGTGAGAAATCAAAGGTCCGAGGGGAACCTTGAATCAATACCTGCTGTGCAGGCAGCTCTTACTGCTTCTGCAGTCTCCAGATGAGCCGGAAGGCTTTGACACCACTCACCCTCAGAGCCGACATCCAGAGGACTGTCTTAGACTGCGGGTTGGAACACATCTGCCGCATCCAAGGCCTTACGCCCAGGAATTCTGTCACAACTTTTCAACTGTGTCATCCATTGGACAGTTTTTTACTAAGGTCTGCTCTGCCGGGTCCTGTGCTAGAGTCACAGAGGTGAGCAGAACACAGTCTGGCCATGTGGTCACTCACAGTCCAAAAGTGGGGCAGAAGGAAACAGTTCCCATGTGATAGGCCAGAAATATGCCCTCAGGGCACTCTGCTGGCTCCTGGGTAAAAACTGTGAATGACTAGGGGCATGGAAGGGCACAGGGGCCAGGAAAGATAACTCCCTATTCTCTGCTCCCCAGACCAGGGTCTGTGAACTACGAAAAGGTATCCAAGACGGAGGGATTTATACTGTCTTTTAACAGTCTTACAATGGTGCAGTGCCTCATATATGCAGAGCTTTCTCCGAAAGCACTGCTGGGTTCAGCAGTCACAGACCACACACTTTCTTGGCTCATGACTTCCATGCCAGAGACTCCCTGCCCTCAGGGTACACTGGGGTGTTACCAGGTTGGGGGACTCTCCGATGAGGGGTGGAAAGGGAGAAGGAAGTCCTCAAATCCATTTAAAGGGGAACATCAGCAGGGCTTGGTCATTGGTTGGATCTGTGGGATGCTGGAGAAAGGAGTCTCTGGCTCAGATGCCTGGGGGGCAGAGGGGCCTTTGCCAGGCTGGGACTGGAGCAGGAGCAGTGTTGAGCCAGGTGAGGCCCTCCACCTTGGGCATGGTTAAGGGCAAGGAAGGGACCCGCCTTGGCAGGACACCCTAGGCCTGTTTGCAGTTCCTGAGCAGTTCTGGAGCTCACATGGAGGTTAGGGCTGGAAAGCCTGATTTGGGAGCCATCAACAAACAAACAGCCATGAGCATGCAGAGGTTTGCTCAAGGAGGCTGCGTAAGGGGAAGAAAGAAGGGACCTAAGAAGGAATCGCTGTTGTGGGGGGTGGTATCATCACCCCCAGAGTATAACTGGGAATGTGAGAAGTCCACTCCATGGGGATGTGATGGAGCAGGGTTCACACCTGCAGGCCCGGGAACTCCCGAGCCCACGCGTCCCACTGCCCCAGCCGCTCCCCCCAAGGAGCAGGGGCAAGATGGGAGAGGTGAAGTGGGGGGTCCTCTGAGCCCAGCAAGAGGGGCTTAATATGAAGGTGCGAAAGCATTCAGAAATGAAGCTTTTTAGAAATGAAGATACTCTAGAGTCCAAGCTCTTCAGCTCACCCTAAGAATATTGAGAACCTCAGATTTAAGTGACCTTCCCAAATTCACAGGTTAGTCAGGAGCCAGGAGCCAGGAGCAGAAACAGAGTGAGAAAAAAACCTATTCATTTATCTTGTCCAGAAATGCCGTTTTTGTCTCTGGGTAGGAAGCTTCCTGCTCTTTAACTCAGTTGTGTGATTTTGTATGTATGCTTATGGGCCTTCCTGTGGCGTGAGTTCTTTTAATCACTAGAGCTATAAATATTATTCCTACCAAGGGGAATGTTACTTGCTCAGCCTTTCTTTACTGCGCCCATTATGGGATCTGATTAGGGCTAGGGCTGGTAGGCTTCCTGTGGCTTTCCTGTGTAAGGGTTGCCCTTAGCATGCCATCCTGATCTGTGCCAGCAGGGATCATGTCCCCTGCATGTTCTCTGGTCACACACCAAGACTGCTGCTTATGTGCCACAAATCACTGTGGGACCTGCACAGTGATTTCAGCCTTGTTGGTCCAGCACATCTGACTTGCCTTAAGCAGCCTGTCAGGTGAGGAACTCGAGAAACCTGTACCTGGAGAAACGGACCTCCCAGCAGAGGAGAAGAGAGAGGCCTGGGTCAGGTCGACCTGTGTTTCGATCCTGAATCTGCCACTCCTGGGTACCTGGCCCTGGGCAAGCGGCTTACTACAGCAAACACGTAATTGTCTGTCAACCCTCTAAACTGAGTCCTCCAGGAGAGGGCTGCATCTTTTAGCACTTAGTAGTTGCTTGAGACAAATATGCATATAGTTCGCCATGAAGAAATGGCAGGAAGGAAGGAAAGAGGGAGGAACAGAAGGAGGAAGGTGGATGGAAAAACATTATCTATTTTACTGAATTTTATAGTGAGGATTCAGAGTCCAGAGAAGTTAAATCATATGCTAAAAATTACATTACAGATGAGTAGCAGAAACTGGAGTAGAAGTCAGCTCCCTGATCGTTGTTTATGTATCTGTCACCTTCAGTTAAATTACATTTGCCTTGAAAGCAGAGACTATTCATCTCTCCAAACCTATAATACTTAGAGCAGGGCCTGGATATAGTATTTGCTCTACAAATGAGTGGATAATGGAAGCTTCCAAACGTTACCGTAACAATTCCTTTTACCTGACATTTGCCCAAATCATTATGTCCTTGCTCCTTGCTGATCTAGATTCAGAAGAAGCAGCTCTCTACCACTTCTCAGTATCCCCAAACAGAGTTTTATGTAAAACAAGCCCAAGTAACTGGAAACCTAGAAACATAAGGCAGCAGGCACTCTTGTCGCTGGACTCCCTACTTAGTAGTCCATTCTCATGATCAGGGCCAAATACCATGCTTATGTGCCTAGTTGGGATAAGGTGAAATCGGTTATCAAGTTTGAGTTGTTGCTTTCTCTCCTCTCATACAGAGGAATGTGGTATCACAGAGAATGCCCAGGGCTTGAATCTCCGCTTTACCTCCCACGAGCTCAGTGTGACTGCTATAAAATGACTTAACCTTTGTGCACATGCTTCCAATTGTAAATTAACAATAATAGTAACATTTCATGAAAGTCATTGAAAGGATTAACCGGAATAAAGCCCCTAGCACAGGGCTTGGTACAAAGGTGACCGGCAAATGGTTTTTATGGCAGCACAGTGGCCTAGTGAACATAAAGCTTTTGAATCACAACTGATCTAAAGTCTGTTGCGCCCACTTTCTAGCTGTGTGCCCTTGGGAAAATTCCTTAGCCTCTCTAAGTTCCAATTTTCTCATCTGTGAGAGTGGGATAATCGTGTCTATTCTGCAGAGCTGCCGTGAGAATTAAATGAAAAAACAAAAAGTGCATGACATTGTAACCCAGTGCCGGCCACACAAAAAATGCTTGCAAATTATAATGGGATGGTAGTGGTGATGAAGGTGGTGGTGGTGTGAAAAAGAGCATCGAACTCTACTTCCTTAATTGGAAGGGAAACTCGAGAGTGACCTGCCCTCCAGGAAACTCTAGCAGCCACCCCGAGAGGAGCCACTCTAAACTGTCGAATCCTTATTTAAGGAAGGGAGAGGGCAGCATTCTGCCAGCTGCTGTCAGCTGGGACCCTTGTTAGGGAAGACTCCAGCGGCCCTTCTCCAGAGAGTGGGATTTCTGATGGGCAGGCCGACCTGACTCGGGGCCTGTGTCACAGTAACAAGGCTTGTACCTGACAGAAAACCCCACATCGTCCTGCATCCCATCTGCTGTGCCAAGTTGTGTAGCCTGAATGGGAGTCCACTTAACAGGCTTCAAGAAACAAGCTGTCATTCAGAGCCCCAAGAGCATTTCTGAGCCCCAAAAGGTAAGGCAGCCCCAGAGGTGCAGCTTCTTCACTGCCGATTCCTGGCCGTGTGTCTGCCTCAGGAGTAAATATGAGGTGTGCTGGGACCCCGGGAAGGAGAGGAATTCAAGGCTGGACTGGAACTGACTCGCGCAGTCCTCTGCGCAATGGGGGGAGCAGGCAAGCCCTTCTTCGGTGCCCAGGGCTCTTCCTCACCAGAACTGCCTTCCTCAGGGGCCTGGCCCCAGAGCTGGGGTGAGGAAGCAGGAGGCTCTCCAGATCCACAAGTGACACAAGAAGTTACATGAGGGGCTCCTTATGCTTCTGTGTAGCCCCACAGCTGGTGCCAGAGGGAGAGAAGCAGGGACAGTCCCCCCGGGAAGCTGGGCCACCGCTCCCCAGGATATGAGGACTCCAGCCGAGCAGAGTGGGCTCTGGGCAGGCTGGACTCCGTGGGGGAAAGAGCAGAGCTTGACTCAGAACTGAAGCAGAAGAACCGCCAGGTGGAGGTGGCGCGAGGGAGGCCTCCCTCAGGGATCTTGTCTGGCTCAGCTGTGGCCCCAGAGCCCAGCACAATGCCCAGCACCCAGAACAGATGTTTAATACAGGATGTAGTGAATATAGTAGTTCTGTCTGACATTCTACCACTGCTTCCTCAACTCCACATAAAGTGAGAGGTGTGAATGCCTTCAGCTGATCTAAGGTAGGTCTGAAGTAGGAGGGGACGTAGCAGGAAGGGGAGCCCACATCACCAGATCGGATGGCCTGAATACCGTCTTGCTTTCCTGGCCGGGACCCCTGGACCGCATCTGCTGAGTGGAGTGACCGTACCTCACCTGGAGTTGTGGGGAGAATACAGTGCAGAGTGCCCTCTGATGAGACCTGAGTGGGAGGGGAGAGGCCGCACTGGCAGGCAGAAGGATGACCCCAGCTGGACTGTCAGGACAAGGAGGACAGATAACGGGGCCCAGAGGCTGGAGCTTGCGTCACACAGCCACGAAGAGAGGACAGCATGACAAAATTTCTCCTCAGCAAATACGCAAGGCAGCTACTCCCTCATACAACTCTGGTCACACCTC